TGTCCATCCCTGGCCGTGTCCCCCTGTCCATCCCTGGCCGTGTCCCACTGTCCACTCCGACCTGGGCTTCCCCCGGGCCCGAAGTGACTCCGGGGGACATCCCCGGCCCGGGGGCACCGGGGGGGGTTTTGTCTTTTGTTTCTCCGCCCCGAGGACTGAACGAGCGCTCGCTTTTGTTCCGCTCCCCCGGCCCAGTTCCCGGTCCCGTTCCCGGTCCCTGCTCCGTTCCCCCATTCCCAGCCCCCTTCCCGGCTCCGTTCCCCCGTTCCGTGCTCCGTTCCTTCGCTCCCTATCCCGTTCCCTATCCCGTTCCCGGTCCCGTTCCCCCATTCCCGGCCCCATTCCCGGCTCCATTCCCTCGCTCCCGGTCCCGTTCCCCGCTCCGTTCCCCCGTTCCCGGCCCCATTCCCGGCCCCGCTCCCCCTGACCTAATTCGGAGCCCGGGGGACGGGACAGGGACACACAAATGAGGCCCGGGGACATCCGGCGGCCACCCACGGCGACAGCGGCACCCCGGAGCGCGCCCCGGGCGCTAATGAGCGCAATTAACGCAACGAGCGTACGCAATTAGCGCAACTGGCGCACGCAATTAGCGCAACTGGCGCACGCAATTAGCGCAACTGGCGCACGCAATGAACGCAACGAGCGCACGCAATTAGCGCAACTGGCGCACGCAATTAGCGCAACTGGCGCACGCAATTAGCGCAACTGGCGCACGCAATGAACGCAACGAGCGCACGCAATGAACGCAACGAGCGCATGCAATTAGTGCAAGGAGCGCACGCAATTAGCGCAACGAGCGCAATTGACGTAACGAGCGCACGCAATTAGCACAAGGAGCGCTCGCAATTAGCACAAGGAGCGCACGCAATTAACATAAAGAACGCAGGCAATTAGCGCAACGAGCGCAATGGACGTAACGAGCGCACGCAATTAATGCAACGAGCGCAATCAGCGCAACTAACACAACGAGCGTACGCAATTAGCGCAACGAGCGCAATTAACGTAAAGAGCGCACGCAATTAGCGTAACGAACGCAATTAGCGTAACGAGCGCACGCAATTAGCGCAACGAACGCCGTGAGTGTAGCCAACACAATTAACGCAATGAAAATAATTAAGGCAATGAAAATAATTAAGGCGATGGAAATGAAGGCAATGAAAGTGAGGAATGTCACGGAAGTAATGAACGCAAGGAATGCAATTCCTGGAAAACCTTGGGAATTCCCGGAAAACTTCGGGAATTCCCGGAAAACCTCGGGAATTCCTGGATGAGCTCAAGGAAAGGCGGAAAACTTTTGAGAAAATTGGGATTTAGCGCCAAGAATTCCTGGGAATCCTCAAGGAAAACCTTGGGAATAGCTCAGGGAAGGAGGGAATTCCAAAGGTTTTTTTCCCCCACAGCTCCGGCCCCGCATCCAAAGGCCCGGGAAAAAAAAAAACGGGATTTCCTTGGAAAAGGGAAGTTTTTTATTGGGAAATCTGGGATGAGAGGCAGCGCCCGACCCTTCCGAGGGAAAAACCGGGAAAATAGAAAAAACCGGGAATACAAAACCCGGCAGCGACCGGAACGCCGGGAAAACGGGAAAAAATGGGAAAAAACGGGGAAAAAACGGGGAAAAAACGGGAAAAAAACGGGAAAAAAACGGGAAAAAATGGGAAACAACGGGAAAAACTGAGTGAGGAGCCAGGGAGGCACCGGGATGTCCCTGGATCCTGAGGAATTTCGGGATGGGAAGGAGAATCCCGGGAATTTCCCGGCGTCTCTGAGGTTCCCGAGGGTGGGAACCGCTCGTGGAAAAGGAGAATTCCCAAAAAAATAAAATCTCTTGGCCTGGGAATGGCCCCAGAATTCCGGGAATGGCCCCGGCCCTGCTGCTCCCAACGCTCCGGGATGAGATTCCCGAAATTCCCGCCGGGAATTCCAAATCCTGGGAGCTCAAGTCTTCGACAGGGGAAGGGTTCAGGCAACGCCCACCTGGAAATCCAAGAAATCCCTGGAATTCCTGGCTCTGAGTCCTGGGGAAGCTCCCAGAAATCCCACGGGATTGGGATCCCACGTTTCCCATCGGAGCTGCTCCATCAATCCTCCCCCAAAATCCCTGGAAAAAGGGCTCCAAAATCCCTGGAAAAGCATTCCCAAAATCCCTGGAAAAGCATTCCCAAAATCCCTGGAAAAGAGCCCCAAAATCCCTGGAAAATCATCCCCAAAATCCCTGGAAAAGAGCCCCAAAATCCCTGGGAAAGACCCCCAAATTCCCTGGAAAAATGGCCCCAAAATCCCTGGGAAAGAGCCCCAAATTCCCTGGAAAAATGGCCCCAAAATCCCTGAGAAAATGGCCATAAAATTCCTGGAAAAACAGCTCCAAATCCCTGGAAAAATGGTCCCAAAATCCTGGGAAAACATCCCCAAAATCCCTGGGAAAAAGAGCCACGAATTCCTCGTAAAACATCGCCAAATTCCCTGGAAAAATGGCCCCAAAATCCCTGGGAAAGAGCCCCAAAAATCCCTGGAAAAACATCCCCAAAATCCCTGGATAAATGTCCCCAAATTCCTTGGAAAAATGGCCCCAAATTCCCTGGAAAAGAGCCCCAAATTCCCTGGGAAAGAGCCCCAAATTCCCTGGGAAAGAGCCCCAAATTCCCTGGGAAAGAGCCCCAAATTCCCTGGAAGAGAGCCCCAAATTCCCTGGGAAAATGGCCATAAAATTCCTGGAAAAACAGCTCCAAATCCCTGGAAAAATGGTCCCAAAATCCTGGGGAAACATTCCCAAAATCCCTGGGAAAGAGACCCAAAATCCCTGGAAAAATGACCATAAAATCCCTGGAAAACATCCCCAAATTCCCTGGAAAAATGTCCCCAAAATCCCTGGATAAATGTCCCCAAATTCCTTGGAAAAAGAGCCCCAAATTCCCTGGAAGAGAGCCCCAAATTCCCTGAGAAAATGGCCATAAAATTCCTGGAAAAACAGCTCCAAATCCCTGGAAAAATGGTCCCAAAATCCTGGGAAAATATCCCCAAAATCCCTGGAAAAACGACCATAAAATCCCTGGATAACATCCCCAAATTCCCTGGAAAAGAGCCCCAAAATCCCTGGGAAAATGACCATAAAATCCTGGAAAAATGCCCCCAAAATCCTGGAAAACCAGCCCAAATCCCTGGAAAAACCCCGACATTTTGGGAATCGTGCCCAGGATTTGGGAATTCGCTGTGGGGGAGGGGTGGGGAGGGCTGGGAATTCCATGGAAAATTCCATGGGAATGAGGGAGAAAGGGGGATCCTGACCTGAGGAGAGCGCGGAGCTCCGGAGCGGCTCAGACGATCCCAAACCTTTCCGCCCTTTTCCGCTTCTTTGCCTGGATTTGGGAATGGCCAAAAAAAAAAGCGGGAAAATCCTGGGAATTCTGGGGCTGGGAATGGGGAAATTCCCGGTGCTGAAGGGGGGGAAAATCCTGGGATTTGGGGCGGGGTTTTCCCGAGGAAATGAGGCAGAAAGAAGAGAGGATTCCATGAATTCCTGGGGAAACGGCAACCAAAATTCATGGAAAAATGGCCCCAAAA